AGGCTGATGAAGAGGATCAGGAGGAGGACCAGGAGGAGGAGGAGGAGGAGCAGGAAAAGAAAAAGCCACCAACTACTGAGAAGGGCCAGGAAAAGGGTGGCAAGGAGAAGACGAACAAGAAGGATGACCGGAAAAATGATAGGAAGGAGAAGGGTGGCAAGGATGACGGGCAGGGTGGCAAGGAGAAGAAGGATGGCAAGGATGAGGGGAAGGATAGCAAGGAGAAGGGTGGCAAGGAGGTGGGGAAGGATGGCAAGGAGAAGGGGAAGGATGTCAAGGAGAAGTGTGGCAAGGGCGATGCAAAGGGTGCCAAGAAGGCCAAGAAAGAGAAGGCTATGAAGGAGGAGGCGAACAAGGTTAGCAAGGAAGACAAGAAGGATAGTAGCGAAGAAAAGAAAGCAAAGAAAGCAAAGAAGAGCGATGGCAAGACCAAGACAGATGAATCAAGCAGCAAGGCGAAGGGCAGAAAGGCAGATGCGATGGGTGAGGTGGGTGCAGATGCTGAAAAGAAGCCAAGGACAGAAAAGCGTGGCAAGAAGCGTGAGGCAGAAGATGAGGGTACCAACTCAAAGCTTGCTGAGGCAGAAAAGAGAACCATCAACAGCAGCACCCACCACAAAGAGTGGCAAGCATACAAAAGGTGGATCAAGAACAAGAAGAGGTTCCCAGCTTCCTTGGCAACCCGGGTTCAATCCGAAGAAGGGCGCAATAGCCTTTTCAAAGACTATGTGGAGAACGAGGGGGACACAGCAAAGATTACCGCCAAACACCTTCAATCGCTAGAGGTGACTTGCGATTTGCCATTGTAAGTTGTTGTTTTTTTTAAATGTTGTTTGGGGTGGGGTTCTACGTCTCTTGCGTTAGTTCTTTTTGTTCTCGTTTGGCAGCCAAGGAAAAGTCCAGCAATGAGTGCAGGTATGGCTTCCGTTCGGAGAAGTGGATCCATGACCAGCACGGCACTGACAAGGGCAACAAAATCATTCAACGAAAGAAGGAGCAGGGACTCTATGTGGAGGACCCGGAGTGCCCAGGGGAGAACCTCTGGTTTGTTCTGATCAGTTTGGATGTCTCCAACGTCCAGCAGTTCAAGAAGATTACGTCTATGGAAATTTCAGGGGCTGCTTCGCCTGAAGTCTTGAAAGCGTTCACGGACCAAGGTGGGGTGCTCTCAGGAGAAGGCCTGAAAGGTGCGACAACAAGTGATGGTGCCATGAAGAAGGCTGTTGGCTTCATGCAGACCGCGTGCGGTGGATCAGGCAAGAAACCGCGGAAACCCAAAGGAGGTGACAACAAAGAGGAGGATGGCAAAGGAGGTGAAAAGGTGGTGGCAAAGACTTGGGAGGAAAAAGCGGGTGCGCTCATCACCAAAATTCTTCGGGATGCCAACACATGCAGGGACAACGCTTTCAAGTTGAAGCCTCTGGAAATGAGTTCAGAGCTCATCAAACACTTGAAGGCAGTGGAGATCCAGCTACAACGTGCAGCATCTAAGTTGCAAGACCTTGTCAACAAAGGCTGCAAGAAGGGCAAGCACTACCAACCAATCGTGGATGAGGTGGGGTGGTGATGGCAAAGGGTTTCGTCGTGTTATGTGTTTAAAATGTTTTTATTTTACAGCTCGGCTCTAAACCTATGACGGCTCTAAACCCATCATATGACAGCTCTGAACCCTGTGGAGGTGGACCAGCTTACGCAACTTGCCAAAGAGAAGATTCAACTCGCCAAGGCGTTAGTCCGTGCGGCGGAGAATGCCAAAAAGACTGACAAGAAAGAAGTCAAAGAGAATGAGAAAACGGAGAAGCCTACGGCAGGGGAGAGGAAGTCTAAGGGGGCTTCCAAGACTAAGAAGTAGCGTCCTGATCAACAGTGGAAGGTATGTTTGCCTTAGGAGTGCCAGAGTTCAAAACAATATGTTCAGTAGGTTTCCAACAACCCTATATACTGTTGCTGTGTTCATTGTTCAATAGCCCTATTCGTCTCATGTTTGTTGCTTACCTCTTGTTGGCCTCATGGCTCACCTTCCTGGGTTTGAAGTTCCATACTTAGCATACTTGTCGCATATGTGGCAAGTTCGGGGGATCCAGTGAAAGCATTGGATCATAATCTCATCGGGAGTTGGAAGCTTAGAAGCAAAGGGTCACAAAACGGCGGTCGAGTCTGAACATACTATTTGGATGGGACGATCTTTCATGGTCATTGTCCAATCCCACGCAGGGCCCGATCCAGATCACGCTCCCAGTCCCAGAGCTGTCCTTCCGCATCCTCGAGGAAGCTCGGGGCCATCGATGGAGCCTGGGAGAAATCAAGACTCCATTCTTTATCTTTGGTGACCTTTGGTGGGGCCGCCCTAAGAAAGACACACCACACCTTTTTATTGTGGGGGCCTTCAACTACCTCCTGCCTTTTACCAGGGACATTGAAAAACCATGTAAGGGCATTACCTGGCGGACAACGCAAGCTTCTCTGCTAAGCGGCTACTTGCCAAGCTTTGCTCCGGGGTGTGGGGTTCCCAAAAGCAATGTTGTTTTGTTCAAAAACTGCTTTAAGGGTTTTATCTCTGTTTCTTACCGGAAACAAGTTGGCCCTGACAGGTGTCATCCGCTGCCCAAATATGTTTAGATGCCTGCTGCCTCGTTAGGGATGGGTCTACGTGCGGCCTAGCGCGGTTGCTGGCAAGCTGGCATGGGAGTGGCCATGAAGAGAGAAGTTTCCAAAGGCCCAATCTCAAAACAACAATGTGTAATTCGTGGGCTTGGGGGCCCGCTGCAATTTCAATCTCCGTTTTCCTCTCTTCAGACCATTAGTGTTGTGGGATGTCTAAACAATTTCAATTTCACTTTTTCTTCCCTTCAGGTGGTATGAGAGACACAGCCATCTGGATTTGGATTCGGTTGAAATACCCTACCTGAAAGAGGTTGTGAACGAGGAGGGGGACACTGAGCTGAAGTTGGTCGACCACAAGGTTGCTATTCTGTGGCCCTGGGATGTATTCCACTTCATGGACCAACGCAACGCTCTGGAGGGCTGGATTGCTGACAAGCCTGAAAAGGCTTCTCTCAAGGTCAGTGATTCTTGGACTGGTGAAGGGCCTTTTAAGTTTTGGAAGGCTAGGTTCCCACAAAACATATCAGGGCTATAGGGAAAATAGCTTTGTTATGAGCTTTGTTTGGCAAAAGCAAAGGAATATTGGCACAAAGTGCGTGGAGAAGACTTCTACAGCACACTGCAGCTCACTGAGCCTGAGAGGACAGTGCCTATTGTGTTCCACGTGGATGGAGTTCGGATATACAAACAACAAGAGAGTTGGATCTACAGCTACTCAAGCATGACCAAAAAGGGTGGCAGCACAGTGGAGAACAAAATAGTGCTTTGCTTGGTTCGTGACGCGCTGGTTGCAAAACCACAGACACACGACGCGCTGGCGAAGATTGTGGCTTGGGTCTGCACTGTCCTTCAAACGGGTCGCTATCCTTGCAAGGATTTCTATGGTCAGGACTGGCCAGCTGGAAGCAAAGAAGCGGAGAGAGCAAATTCTGAGTTTGCAAGTGGATGGCGCGGGGCTTTCAGTGCGTTCAAGGGGGACCTGCAAGCCCGTGTTATGATCCACAAATTATGCAGAAACTACATGGCCAACCTTTGCTGCGAGCACGACTTCGCAGGCAAACTCCTGACCTATGGTGACTTTGGCCCAGCTGCCGCCTGGAAACACACAAGGCTGACTCATTCCCAATTCATTGAGTTGAACCCGCCCAACAAGCAGACCGCATGGGTGGCTGTACCTGGATGGCGCAAAGAGAGGAACTTAGATGTGGCTGTGCATTTAATTGGCGCAGTAATGGTTTGCTCTTGTTTCTTTTCTACCTGCCTTCTCTTTGTGTTCTCTTTCAACTTTCCCCCTAGATCCATCTATAGATTTCGCTGGCAATCATGCAGTGAGGATTTGATGCATACGCTGCATTTGGGAGTCGCCCTGTGTGTGATTCCTGGTCTCATCATCGACCATCTTATCCGGACCAACCCTGCAATTACACTGGATAGACTTGAACGGTCCCTTTTGCACGCATACTGGCACCACCGAGCATGGTGCAAGGAGAACCGCGTGCCCTACGCACCGCTGAGATTCAATTTGGCCAGGTTTGGGAAAGAGAGCTGGGGTGAGAAACCCGAGCTCACCACGCAATACAAAGCGATGATTGTCAAGCATTTGATTTACTGGTCGCATGCGTGGTTGACGGAGGAAGGTGCTGAGAGTGATATTTTGTGCACTTCGTTTGCGTTGGCGCAGTTTCAATACAAGTTGGATACTTCCCCAGATTGGCTTAGTCCAAATGACAAGCGGGAAACAGTGGACGCAGGCTTTGCCTTCCTTCAATTCTACCAACGGTTGGCTTTCAAGAATTTACGCAGTCCAAAGCAGCAATACAAGCTGACCCCAAAGTTTCACTACTTCTGCCATTTGGTGGAGTACATCGACAAAAGTGCTCGGAATGTGCGGTGGCCTGACTCACACAGAAAAGTGTTTGGCCTTTTAGATTAATCTTTCCAACCTTAGACTCAATAGCTATGTAGCCATAATTGAAAACCCTGTGAAAGATCTCAGGTATGAACATTGCTACGCAGATGAATCCTTGATGGGACAAATGGCAAGGATTTGCAATAAGTGCCACGCCCTCACTTTAGAGAGGACTGCTATGCACAGGTATCGAGTCATGCTCGATTTGATCGTCTTGGGCTCGGACCAAGATGATCCCGAGGGCCCTTGACCGCGCCCGCGGTCTGCAGAAAAATTGAGCCATGAAACCAGTGGGCGGGAAAGCCAACGCATCGATCGAAGTTCGAGGTACCCCTCGGCAAACCACCCGGGTACCCACAAACAAAGGGTGAGGGTAGGTGGCCACCCAGCCAATCCCCAAAAAAGGAACTCCAGAAACTTCCGGGTCACAGGGTGAAAGGGTGAAAGGGGAGAATCTCCAGACACAGCCTATATGTGTGTGTGAGTGAACTGTGTGTGTGTGCGAACCAAAAATATGTTAAAACAAGTTTTTTCACCAAGAAACTTCCGAGTTACCGAATGTGTGCTCTCAAAGCTGTGTTCTTGCGAGCTTTGCCTGCCAAAGTTGGTTTTTCAATGCCACCCATGCTCTCAAAGCTGTGTTCTTGCGAGCTTTGCCTGCCAAAGTTGGAACCCATGCAAGACTTGAAGGATTCACTGCAACCCTTGTCATGCGCTCTCTACGACACCTAACATGAAGTTGGCATTTTCCCACATTCACGGTGAAGTTGGTAAATTGCAGCCTTCTGGGCGGTCTAGGTGGAGTTCAAACCCGTCGGACCAGAATGGCCGTCGATGTATTACCACGAAAAGTTAGACTTGCTGTTAGTGATATATGTGGACGACTTGAAATTGGCAGGGCCCAAGGAGAATTTGAAGAAAGGTTGGGATCTACTCCGATCCAAGCTACGCATTGAACCGGAAACCGAGGTCGGATTGTATTTAGGATGTGTTTTGTCGAAAGGCGAAGATAAATTGGCCGATGGTTCCAAAGTCACTACAATGACATATGATATGAGCGCTCTGCTAAAAATGAGCGTGGTCAAGTACCTCGATATAGTAGGTAAGGACACAGTATTGAAGAAAGTTGCAACGCCAATGTTACCGGATGTCACAAAGGATCATCCATCGAGAGCACCATGCAGTACCCAAAAGGGACTTGCTGTCACATGCACATGGTGTGGTACTTGTTTCTCGCCTGACCAGGCAGCTTCCAAGGCCAGGTCAACAGACGATGACGTCAAGTCTGATGCGAAGGAACAACCTCGTGGTACCCTAGCGCCTCATGCTGCTAGTCTCCTAATGAAACTGTTGTACGCTGCTAGAATAGCGCGTTTCGACCTGTTAAGGGCCATCAATGTGCTGGCTCGTAATGTGACAAAATGGACAGTTGCCGACGATGCTAAGTTGCATCACCTGATGTGTTACGTGCATCATTCAGCCGATCAGAAGATGGTAGGTTGGGTCGGTGATTCCAAAGCAGACCTGTCGTTAGCCCTATTCGCAGATGCGGACTACGC